GGCTGTCATTCCTTTTTAAAGATACTTTGCCTTAGAATCTGGAAAGATGCCTGTTGAAGATTCTTGGGGCTAAAAATTAAATATCTGAGTTCATAGGAGTAGATATAGAACAGAGAGACGTAAAATGTATTTTCTTAATTGTTCATTTTATTGTTTGTTCTGGCCTCAGAGACTTTTATTTAATTCAGTATCTATTTAGATCATTATTGCATGTATCATATTAATAACATTCTGATAGAGAAATAACATCCTGCTTAACTGTTATTAAAAATGGCAGCATATAATACCTTTTAAGACACTTGAGGGAAACAAGTCAATTTTGGTTATTATTACCTGTTAATTTTTGGTGTGTCAGAACAAAGCCCAGGCCTGTTTGATGTTCAGAGGTATGTTTCTAAGCGCAGTGTGTCACTGTGTAGCTTAGGAAACGTTCTCATACCTGCTGGACCATGTTCAGTGACTTTTAGGTTTTACTTACCAACATACTGACTCAAAGTGCTTTTCATGCCTTGCTTTTGAGAAAAAGTCATTTTGTAATGGAATCACTTTCATTAATTATAGTGTGATGATGATGCAGACGTCTTGATGTAGTCATTAGTTCCCAAGCAAACTTGATTCCTATGGTGCCAATCATTGATGTCTGCAGTGTATGTTTATTCATAGAAAATAGAATTTGTGTTAAGTTGATCTAGCAAATAATTTACTCTGTTGCTGTTACTAGTAGGACCGTGATATTATATAGATACACAGATAAGAAGTGAAGATTGATTTCTTTTCCTTTGTTTAGGGCAAAACTTTTCAGAAAAAACACTGATGTCTTACTTTCATAATAAAGTAAATTAATTTTTATGATAGGTTAGTATATCAACGTTTTATTCCCTAAATTGATGAAAGACTAAGTAAAAATCCATCAAAACATATTTTATTTAAAAACACTTTCTAAAATTCAGCTTTTTAATGTGCTATTTGTGAAATTGTTTATTTTCTCAGATAAATTGAATTTCTCAGCAGTATCAGTTTTACTTTCTACTTTACTGTTTCTTCTTTTCTGTAAAGATTAAAAAATAGAGAGATGTGCTAGTTGTAATAATATCCACCAAAAAGTCAAACTTTGTTTATATTTAGATTTACTCTGAGACTCAAATTAAGAAGATACAGCTACTGTCAAAAGATAGCCTGGGAGTGAAAGGCGAACTGAAAAATGAAGACAGAGAAAAGGTAATAAATTAAAATGACAAACTTTCTGTTAACAGAGGATTTTTGGAGTGTTCATCTTTTAAGATATTGTTTTTAAGAAATCATCTTATTACAAAGATATTTTTTATTAAACCTTAAGTGATTATTTGAAGACTTTTCCTTATAGAGTATTGCTTTAATGTCTAATTCAATTAATTTGCTGAAAGGTAGGCACTGTGGTTGCAAAACAGATACATTCCAAAGAAAACCCCAGTGTTCAGTGTTGTTAGTAGGTGAAACTGTGTTTTTCTAGATAATGTTCTATAGCTGCTTTTTTCTTAGTTCCAGAAATATTTTAAATGAAAAAGTAAACAAAATGTGACATTTTACTTCTTTCTTTGTGTATATAATTTTGTGCATTTTAACCTTTTCACAGATAAAGTGGAAAGAAAGGATTGCATATCTAAGCAACAGACAAAAAGACTGGAAAGGAATACTTAAATAAATTCTGCTATGTATCTGCCGTAACGCAGGCTTCTAATCCTCCCGCCTATCTCCATATAAATGATTCTGTTCAAGACCATAGATGTTTTCTTCACTAAAAGCAGTAAAGCTCTTTTAGATGAAATGTCTAAAAACATCTTGTAATAACTTGGAGCATGCTGGCAAGAGTAGTCACTTGTGACTATGTGTGAAACCCCCTCAGCCAGTCGATGTTGTAATAAGCAGAATGGTAGCATCACTCCATTATTCAGAAAAGCCAGCAGCATGCTTGTTCCTTAGGCTGCAGCATTCATTAAGAAAAGCTTACTGGGCTGAAAGCTGGAAACAGATGATAACGGGATATGATTTTCATATTTAATGCTTTCCTTGGAAGAGTATGTGTGCTACAGATTGATAGAAGAATCATCTGCTACTTTACTAAAAGACTTTCAGGTTTGCCCTATAGCTACCGATGGAATCATTCAGCCAAGAAATTAACTTTCTCTTCTTTTACCTGCTTTATATATCTGCTAAGCAGGCTGCCTGGCTGCCAGTAAATGTTATTATGCAGTTAACTGTTTGGTATTTAAGACTCTTATCAGAAAAGAAACAGAGGCCACACTATTTTGTTTTTATAGTGGGAGGAAGGTTTTAGTTTTTCTTTTTATTCCCGTGCATTAGCAGGCATTAATCTTAGTTTATAGGAAGTTTTAGGTTTTCCTTCCAAAGATTAAAAAGTTAAAAAACCTAGAATTTGGAGCATTCTTTAAACTGTAAGATACAAAACACCAAGCCCCAGCAACCTTGACCTAAATAAAAAGGCGTTTAATGATAAATGATTCCCGTGCCATTAGATGTATGCCAAGTGTGGTGTGATGTGATAGACTTATAAACCATTCAGGCAGTTTTTGTGTTTGACATTTCTTCATGAAATAATTGATTTGTTTTTAATCTATAAATTGGTTTGTTCTTCCTATGCCATTCCAGATAGACACAGTCTTAGTACAGCTGTGTCGATGGTACTTAAGTATACAACAGATTTTTTTTTCCTATTTGTTCCACTGATTCCTTACCTTACATATAGTTATCAGTCTCCTTGTAAGTCACATTTAAAATTAGGGCAGAGATACATCTCTGACAACTCCTTAAAGCATTACATATAATAATTAGAAGATAAGTTTTTCCTTTATACCGAAAAGTGTAATCTCCTTAAAAGCTTTGACTATTGACTGTATGTAAGAATCAATTAGGTAACACTGAGAAATTTATATCTTGCCTTCGTCAGTTTCCCATTGATGTTCCATCAATTAAAAAGTAAATGCATTTCAGCAAAATTATGAATTGGTTCATCCTTATTAACTAAAACTAATTCCAGGACACTTCCTTATCACATGAGTTATGTTTGAGTTTTCAGTGAGATCTGTACTGCTCTTCTGTAGGCAGTCAGATGAATCAGTTCCTGTGCCCAAGGTGGTCGGTCTCTGGGAACTGGCCTGAGCAGAGTACAGTCTCACTGGTTGAAGTCAGTAAATAGTTTTTGAGCAAGTGTTCTGTTTGTGAAGCCACAGTAGGCCCTTCTGTGAATGCCTCAATGCCTGACCTTGAGGTGTTTCCTCCAAAGTGCTATTTTTTCCAAGGCATGGGACAGTGTGTGGTATGAGCCAGTTACCTGGGGCAGACATGAGTGACAGGAAGAAAGAGCATACTCCTCCGCTGAGATGAATAACCTGCGGCTTGGTGGAGGAGGCGATGTTTGGGTTGCTGGCATGAGGATGGGTAGGATGTCAGCAGGTGGGGATGTGATAGACATTCCAGGGTTAGGAGATGTGAGTAAAGGAGTAGGTAGTGGGTAGTTTTTCAGTCTGGCTAAAGTCTAGCTAGAGTTCTTGTAGGGAAGTGATGGACAGTGAGTTTGAAAAGGTACATCATGGAACTTAGTACCAGGCTCAAGAATTAAGATTTACTCCTGGAATCACGTGTGTGTTGTGTCAAGGGTGGGGGTGTAGGTGAAGAAAGGACTTGTGAAGATAGTATTTATATCGCAGGCTGGCAGTGTTATGAGAGTGAACTGGAGGAAGGAGCTCATGGAGCTAAGGAAATCAGGGTCAGTTCAGATGGGAAGAGTTAATCAAAGGACTGGATTGGGGGTGGCCACTGAAGTGGAAAACACTAATGACGGGGGAGGATCTATCATTTTAATGATAATTCAGAATTATAAAAAGGTATTTTTTAAAAGTGATTATGCAACTTTGAACTATAAGCAGTAACTGGGCTGTTCTACTAAAAAAAGTCATGAAGTTGGAGTTGTGTGGTTTTTTTAAAGTAAAACTCTATTTCAGTTTTGTAATAAGACATCCAATGTTTTCATAGATCTAGTGGCTACTCTTCAGAATCACGTGTTCTCTTAAGTGGTATATTCATCCCCCAAGCTTATTTCCAATATCAATTTCTTAGCAATTAAAAAAAAAAAGTATCTTTATTGATTTCAGAGAGGAAGGGAGAGGAAGAGAGAGATAGAAACATCAATGATGAGAGAGTTGTCATTGATCGGCTGCCTCCTGCATGCTCCCGACTGGGGATCGAGCCTGCAACCCGGGCATGTGCCCTGACCAGGAATGGAACCGCGATCTCCTGGATCCTGGGTTGATGCTCAACTGCTGAGCCATGCCCAGCCGGGCATTAGTAATTTTTGTTGTTGTTAATGGATAGCAAAAAGACAATGTGCAGGTCCCTACTTGACTCCTCACAAATTTTACTATAATTTAGTAATCTTTCTCCTCTATTATACATTGTCATTTTTTATTTTGGGGTAAAGTCTAATTTTCTTGGTCTCTAGGCATGTTCTAGTTGCTCAGTTTTTTGTATCAGCATTGTCTGCATAAAAACACATCAAAACATATACCCAACAGAGGTAGAGATGGCATTTGTGAATGAGAGTATAAATTTTGGGGTGGGGATGTGAAGTTTCTTTGAACTGTAATATTGTGAAATATATTTTACTAAAAGCAGAAGTAAACTTTAATACTTCACAGGAAGATTATCCTCTGCCAGAGCTGGAGGACCTGGGAATTTCATCACAGGGCTACAGGCTGGTTGGGGAGTTCCACTTCCACTGTTGTAAACCTTTCTGCAAGGGTCGCGTGGAGAATGGTTGTGCAAGTTACTTCTCCTTCTGATAAGAATAGTAACGATGGGTAATTATCATTGTAGAGTTTTTCTGTGCCCAGTGCTGCATTAAGCTCATTATACTCATCAACAAATTTAATACTCTCAACATTCCTGGAAGTAGATACGATTGTTATCCTTATTTTATAGGAAGTCTCAGAGAGGTTAGTTAACTTGCCCCAGACTACACTGCTAGGCAGAGTCAAAATTCAAACCTAGATCATGTGGCTTCAGCATCCATGTTAATAGCCATCTTTCTACACTGCCTTCTGAGGTAGTATGGGTGAAATGCTCTTTAAGAGTTGGGAGAAATTCTAGTCAAATAACAACACCCTAGCCACATCATAAAAATTTTCAGTTATTCATTTAGATGCTGCATTTTTACCTAAACTTGGAAGGGTGAAATGGTCTCTCTTGGGTACCAGAGTAGCTGCCACCAATTCTGGATCCAGTGCCATGTGCCACTGCTGCCCACCTGCCATGCACTCCCAATTACTTTTGATTCTAAGTCCAGTGTGGTAACTCAAGGCTCAGCTGATTGTGAACCGTCTTAAGGAAGAACAACCCCCAGCGTAAGATTACAGTCTTTGGGGTTGGTGCTGTTGGCATGGACTGTGCCATTAGTGTCTTAATGAAGGTCTTGGCAGATGAACTTGCTCTTGTTGAAATCTTGGAAGACAAATTGAAGGGAGAGATGATGGGTCTTTAACTTGGCAGCCTTTTTCTTAGAACACCAAAATTGTCCCTGGCATAGACTATAATATGACTGTAAGCTCCAAGCTGGTTATCATAGCTGGGGCACGTCAACAGGAGGGCCAAAGCTGCTTTATTTTGGTCCAGAGTAGTGTGAACATCTCTAAATTCATCATTCCTAATGTTGTCAAATACACCCCCAACTGCAACTTGCATATTGTTTCCAATCCGGTGGCTATCTTGACTTACGTAGCTTGGAAGGTAAATGGCTTTCTCAAAGACCATGCTATTGGAAGTGGTTGCCATCTGGATTCAGCTCAGTTTTGTTACCTAATGAGGGAAAGGCTGGGAGTCCACCCATTGAGCTGTCATGGGTGGGTCCTTGGGGAGCATGGAGATGCTAGTGTGCCTGTGAGAGTAGAGTGAATGTTGCTGGTGTCTCCCTGAAGAACCTGCCCCTGATTCAGGTACTGATGCAGATAAGGAACAGTGGAAAGAAGTTCACAAATAGGTGGTTAACAGTGCTCATGAGGTGATCAGACTGAAAGGTACACTACCTGGGCCATTGGACTATCTATGGCAGATCTGGAAGAAAGTATAATGAAGAATCTTAGGTGGGTATATCCAACCTCCACCATTATTAAGGGTGTCTATGGGATAAAAGGAGATGTCCTCCTTAATGTTCCTTGTATCTTGGGACA